CTTCTTAGTTATCTATGGCTTACCACTCAGCTTCCCTGTATCTAATCTCAATAGCTCAACCATACTCTTAAAGACCAAACAGGAATGTTTTAATGTTTCTTCTCAGTATTACATTCAGAATTAGTCCCACAAAAGTGTGCTTTACATAATCTTATTTATCTGGTATATTTTAATAGTGTTATTCAGAAGTGGGAAAAAACAAAAAATATATACGCACCTGCCCCAAAGACACACATAGGCTGCATCTTATACTATCGAACTAAAGCAGCCTGACATCACTGGAACTGTCATAGCTCAATGTTATGGAACTATGGGAACTGTAGGTTTACAAGGGCTTTAGCCTTCTCTACTAAAAAGTGTTGGTTCCTCACCAAACCACAACTCCCAGGATTCCACAGAATGGAGCCATGACAATTTTAGTGTTGTCAAGCTGCATTAATTTGACAGTGTATATGCACCTATTGTCTTGGCTTTAAGACAGAGAAAAATGCAGCATTGATCACACAGATTCTGCAAGAAGATCGATAAACATTAGATAGTTTTTCAAAAACTATTGCTCTCTTTGACAACACCTCCCAAGTAGTTTAGCAATAATCTGGAATAACAAATTCTAATCTATCCATTTCTTGGGGGGGGGGGGGATGAGGAATCCGCAAGAGTATACTTAAAATGCCTGAGTGTGTAGCAACCAAGGAGTCAAACAGGTCCTATGCACCTGTTTGATTTCACCAGTTTGCTGAGACACGCCTTTAAGTTGAGCAGGTGTAATTTTGTGTTCTAACAAGTCTGAAAGACAGAGGAAGGAGCTAGTCCTGACTAGCACCATTCCAGTTAGCAAACAATTTGCATAAATATCTGGGAGTCCATTTAAATATCACTGTACGAAGTGCCAGGAGGTGTTAGCGGCTATAATCATCCCATTAAAACAGAATAGGGGAATAGGTTCAAACAAGCAAGTCACCACACTGAGTTTGCAAGACCTAAATAGGGCTGTTAATCACAGGATCTGTTGGAGGTCTCATAAGGGTGCCATAAGTTGCAGACAGCAGTTAAATACAACATTTCTCACTAGCCAAAGTAACAGCATAATCCAAAGTAACAGCATAATCCAAATCTGCTATCTGTAGTGGAATTTGTGCTCCTACTATGTATACTACACTGTGATTACAATTTAATCTACTGTGCAAGAAAAACATGTTTAATGCTAGTTGTAGGTAAAGTTCTTACCTATGTACTCTATTTTTAATCCCCAGTGCAAAGTATGCCACCAAGTATGGAATAACAGCTAGATTTTGGAGGCGAGATCCAAATCAAATCCCGACTTGAACATGTAATTCACCAGATAGTTTTAGATAGCCAGTTTCTTTCAATCTAATCTAGTCAAGGCTCTTGAGCAATGAAATGGGGATATGAAGAACATGACAATCCTTACATTATTTGGTTAAAGATAATCATATTAGAATGTAACAAATATATATGTATCAGATGTGGTTTTGTCTAAGGCTACGGATCTCGTAGGGGTCAATTCATGCAGGAAGGACACTTCACTAAGCTACCACCACACGGAAAGTCTTTTGGAGTTAAGTGTTTTGCCTGTTTTGAATTTTATTTCCCTGGGGGAAAGAGGGAAAGGGTAACTGAAGTGCAAACCTCCCTGGAAACCTAGGACAACTGTTGAATCAATGCGCCTCTTGACATCACTTGAACAGCCATGGCTCAGAGCTCTGGGATCACAGAAGCTACAGTTTCCCAAATTCTTTAGCCTTCTCTGCCAAACAGTGCTGGTGTCTCAGCCATTCCCAGGATTCCACAGCATTGAGCCATAGCAGTTCAAGTGGTATCAAACTGCATTAATTCAACAGTGTAGACACACCCTCAGTAGATGAGGCAATTTGTTAATCCTTGACATGGGAATGAGGGGAAAACTCTGCACATGCTCTAGGAGTTTTAATAAAATGCCGTTTCCAGGAGTGACCCTCTTGACCAGGGGTCCACAAACTTTTTAAACAGAGGGCCAGGTCACAGTCCATAAAACTGTTGGTGGGCCAGATTATATTTAGAGAAAAAAAAACCACTAATGAAATTCTATGCACACTGCACATATCTTATTTATAGTGCAAAAAAATTAAAAACAATACAATAATTAAAATGAAGAACAATTTTAACAAATATAAACTTATTAGTATTTCAATGGAAAGTGTGGGCCTGCTTTTGGCTGATGAGATAGGATTATTGTTGTTATTGTGTGCTTTCAAGTAGTTTCATACTTAGGTTGACCCTGAGCAAGGGCTGGGTAAATGACCTTGGAGGGCCGCATCCGGCCCCCGGGCCTTAGTTTGAGGACCCCTGCTCTTGACACTGAAAATGACTGCAGAAGTGAGTTGAGTCCTTAAGTGAACAGGGTTGCCATCCAGCTCATCTGCTTTACACAGCACCCTCTCAGTTAACTGGCAGCTATGGGGATTGGAAGAGGCCAGATAAATGTGGTTTCCAGTTGCTTGAGAGTGACTATGAAAAGCAAGGTTAAGTAATACAATATCACATATTAGACCAGACTAAAAATTCTTTATTTACTTGATATTAAAATTGAAAGCCAGTAACAAACAGCTAATGAAGAAAATGAAGAAAAACTTATCTGAAGGTAACATTATTTTTCTGTATAGCAGTCGTGGACAAACTTCAGCCTCCAGGTGTTTTGGACCTCAACTCCCACAACTGTGCAAGTTGGAAATCCAAAATACCTGGAGGACCAAGGTTTGCCCATGCCTGCTGTATAGGGTGCCCCAAAAGTCTCTAAACATGGAATATATATAAATGTTGAAAGGAGTGATTGGCCCCTTCCTTGTTGGCCTTTAATTTATAAATTAAAACCTTTTTGTGGAACCAAGCCTGTTCTGATGACTTAAAATAGACAACAACCAGATAGCTAGTGGTAATATAAATCTCTGAATGTTATTCAAACTTGGCAATGCTACTATATGGCCTGATGCAAACGGAGTTCCTAAGATTTTAGTACAACTCTTTTTATGGATAACCCCAGTGGCCTGAGGTTCAGTGAATTTTAATGGCATTTGTTGTAAGTTATTAATTAGTTATAAATGGTTTAAAGGTAAAGGTTTTCCCTGACATTACGTCTAGTCGTGTCCGACTCTGGGAGGTGGTGCTCATCTCCATTTCTAAGCCGAAGAGCCAGCGTTGTCCATAGACACCTCCAAGGTCATGTGGCTGGCATGACTGCATGGAGTACTGTTTCCTTCCCACAGAAGCGGTACCTATTGATCTACTCACATTTGCATGTTTTCAAACTGCTATGTTGACAGAAGCTGGGCCTAATAGTGGGAGCTTACCCTGCTCCCTGGATCTGAACCGCTGACCTTTCGGTCAGTTTGTTCAGCAGCTCAGAGATTTAACCGGCTGCGCCACCAAGGGGCCCATTTGCATGGTTTATGTAGTGGCAATTTGTTTCTTTGGCTTGAGATTTTTTTAAAAATTGAATGTATTGTCGAAGGCTTTCATGGCTGGAATCACTAGGTTGCTGTGAGTTTTCTGGGCTGTATGGCCATGTTTCAGAAGCATTCTCTCCTGATGTTTTGCCTGGATCTATGGCAGGCATCCTCAGTTTGAATTTGTATGTTATGTAATGACTGCTGCTTATAACAACTGTATGCCACTTTGAATTCTATCCATGGGAGAAAAGTGGGATAACAATTAATAAAGTTGGAATGCATACTTTGTAAATAAAGGTTCATTCAACAATTGCCCATTCCCCCTAATCAGTGTTTCTCAACCTGGGGGTCGGGACCCCGGGGGAGGGGGTCATGAGGGGGGTATCAGAGGGGTCGCAAAGACCATCAGAAAACACAGGATTTTCTGTTGTTCGTGGTGGTTCTGTATGGGAAGTCTGGCCCAATTCTCTTGTTGGTGGGGTTCAGAGTGCTCTTTGATTGTAGGTGAACTAAAAATCCCAGCAACTACAACTCCCAATTGTCAAGGTCTACTTTTCCCAAACTCCACCAGTGTTCACATTTGGGCATATTGAGTATTTGTGCCAATTTTAGTCCAGATCTATCATTGTTTGAGTCCACAGTGCTCTCTGGATGCAGGTGAACTACAACTCCCAAGTGTCATTGTCTACTTTCCCCAAACTCCACCAGTGTTCACATTTATTTATTTATTTACTATCTTTGTATACCGCTCTTCTCAGCCCTCAGGACGACTCAGAGCGGTTAACAAAGCAAATACAATACAAAAAACATGATAAAAACAGTTAAAAACAAGTTAAAAGAATAACATTATAACAATCAATAAACATCATTTGGGCATATTGAGTATTCATGCCAAGTTTGGTCCAGATCTATCATTGTTTGAGTTCACAGTGTTCTCTGGATGCAGGTGAACTACAACTCCAATACCCTTCCAGTACTTTCTGTTGGTTGTGGGAGTTCTGTGTGCCAAGTTTGGTTCAATTCCGTAGGTTAACTATAAATTCTAGCAACCCCCAAATGACAAAACCAACCCCCACCAACCCCACTAGTATTCAAATTTGAGTGTATCGAGTATTTGTGCCAAATTTGAAATGAAAATGAGATGAAAATCCATCCTGCATATCAAGACACTTAACATTACGATTCCGAAACAGTCGCAAAATTAGGAGTTATGAAGTAGCAACGAAAATAATTTTATGGTTGGGGGGAGGGGTCACGACAACATGAGGAACTGTATTAGGAAGGTTGAGAACCGCTGCCCTCAATGAAGTAGGGCGCTTTCAAGGACATTATGATTAAAACTAGCTGAGCGGAGGCGGTAGGAATTCTTTTGGCCGGTTGCTTGAGAGTCGCGCTTAAACGAGAGTCCGGCTCTCTGAGAACGAGAGAGAGAGAGCACGCGCGGGCGCGCGAGGGAGAGGCGGCTTTTGTGCCGAGGTTCTTCCCAGGCACCTGCAAGGCTCCCCGCCCCCTCCCGCGCGCCCCTTTCTTCCTCCTCCTCCTCCTCCTCCTCACCTGTCCCTGGGGTCGACCCAGCTGGTGCTCTTGGTGGCGTGGTCGATGTAGTAGACTTTGCCGTCGTAGTCGCGCGCTTCCTCCCAGCCCTCGGGCAAGGGCAGCCCCGGCCGCGGCATCCTAGGCGGAGGCGGAGGCGGCGGGGCGCAGCTCCCTCCCAGCCCCGAGGCGGCCGTGGCCCCATGCAAAGCCCCTTCAGCAGGCCCAGGAGGAGCAGCAACCAGCCTTCTCCCAGCCCGGCAGCAGAAGCGGGGGGCGAGGGGCCGCGTCGGGAAGGCGGGAGTGGGCGCCTCGCATCCTCGGCAAGCAGGGGGAGGAGGGGGAGGGGCCAGGCTCCGGCGGGAACCCCGCAGGTGTCTCTCTCTCTCCAGGAACCCCTTCCTGCCAGTCCTCAGGCTGCGCTTCCCGCCGGCCTGCTCGCCCCTTCCTCCTCAGTCCGCCAAATGCCGCTGCTCCTCCAACCCCTCGGCTCCAGGCTCCTTCCTCCTCCTCCTCCTCCCCGCCTCCTCTGCCGGCGCTACTGTAATACAGGTAGTAGCAGAGCCGCCTCGGCGCAACTTTGTTTCCCAAAAAAGAAAAAAAAAGAAAGAAAAAAAACCTTCCAAAGTATGTGAGGGAGGCTGCTATTCCCGTCAAGACGGCCGCGGCGGTGCTGAGAGAGAAAGAGAGAGGGAGGGAGGGAGTCAGGCAAGCAAGCAAGCAAGCAAGCGCCGCCTCGCGCCAAAGCCCCAGAAGGACGGAATGAGCAGCCTCGCGCCCGGGCCTCGCGGGCAGAGCAACCTGGAGGGAGGGAGAGGGGAGGGGGGGAGGAGGGAGAGGAAGAAGGAAAGGAGGCGGGCTTGGCCACCCCTGCTTGAGGAAGGTCCAGCCCCAGAAAGGAAAGGGAAGGTCCCCCCAGCAGGTGCCGCTCCCCCCTGGTCCGACCTGCTGTGGAGTTGGAGCAGGCATGGGGCCCACCCTCCAGGTGTTTGGGACTCCAACTCCCACCATTCCTAACAGCCTCAGGCCCCTTGGAAAAGAAAAGGGCCTTAGGCTGTTAGGAATGGTGGGAGTTGGAGTCCCAAACACCTGGAGGGTGGGCCCAACTTCGCCCATGCCTGAGTTGGAGGGTTGTTTCCTTGTGAACAACCTCACTGTTGCTTCTGCGTTCTGTGAAGTGATGGCATGTTAGTTATGTTGCATTGGGAGTTGCAGTTCGACAAGGTCTTGACCCATTTCTCTCCAAAAGAGCTAGAGCCTCCATGGTGTAGATCAGGGGGGTCCTCAAACTTTTTAAACAGAGGGCCAGGTCGCAGTCCCTCAAACTGTTGGAGGGCCGGATTATAATTTGAAAAAAAAAATTGCATGAATTCCTATGCACACTGCACATATCTTATTTGSAGTGCAAAAAATATCTTAAAACAATACAATAATTAAAATGAAAAACAATTTAAACAAATACAAACTTATTAGTATTTCAATAGAAARTGTGGGTCTGCTTTTGGCTGATGAGATAGGATTGTTGTTGTTGTTGTTGTTGTGTGCTTTCAAGTCGTTACAGACTTAGGTTGACCCTGAGCAAGGGCCAGATAAATGACCTTGGAGGGCCTTATCCGAACCCCGGGCCTTAGTTTGAGGACCCCTGGTGTAGGTTGATCCTCTGGGTGTTTTGGATTTCAACTCACAATTCTGTTAGCAATTGTGGAAGGGTTTTTTTAATCATTACTTTACACCAACTATAGGTAAAGGTTTTTACCTGACATTAAGTCCAGTCGTGTCCAACTCTGGGGGTTGGTGGTCATCACCATTTCTAAGTCAAAGAGCCAGTGTTCTCCGTAGACAMCTCCAAGGTCATGTGGCCGGCATGACTGAATGGAGCGCCGTTACCTTCCCACTGAAGTGGTACCTATTGATCTCACATTTGCATGTTTTCGAACTGCTAGGTTGGCAGAAGCTGGGGCTAACAGCGGGAGCTCATGCTGCTCCCCAGATTCTAGCCTGCAACCTTTCAGTCATCAAATTTAGCAGCTCAGCGATTTAACCCACTGCACCACTGGGGCCTCCAATAACACCTACAATAGACTCATACAAAAGAGCCCCCAGTGGCACACTGGGTTAAACCCTTGTGCCAGAAGGACTGAAGACTGACAGATCGGAGGTTCAAATCCAGGGAGAGTGCAGATGAGCTCCTTCTGTCAGCTACAGCTCCCCATGCAGGGACATGAGAGAAGCCTCCCACAAGGATGGTAAAACATCAAAATATCCGGGTGTCCCCTTGGCAACGTCCTTGCAGACATCCAATTATTTTACACCAAAAGTGACTTGCAGTTTCTCAAGTCACTCCTGATTTAAAAAAAAACCCTATACAAACATATACATATATAGACAACCCACCACCCACATTAGTTACCTATCATTCCTCCCCCAGTTCGCTCACCACCCCGACTTCCATTACTAATCACGCCTGTCAAATATGCTATGGCCAGCTTCCAATTTCTTCTTAAAACTTCATGACTTTGGTGTTTCAAATTGCTAGATATCTTCACCATTCACCTTTCCAGTCTTTGGCAATCGTTATGCATGCAGCCTCAAAGCTGAACTCGCAAAATTCTCTTTCCGGCTGCTCTAGACTGAATAACCCTAAAAGGCACATCCCTGGATTTTTAAAAACTTTGTTGTGAATCATTTTTTTGTTTTTGTTTCCGTAATCATTTTTTTCCAATAAACCTGCACCAATTTGTAATTTGCACATGTGGAATTCGCACATGTGGAAGAAGGTCCCTTTCTGTATTTTTCGCCTCCAACAGAATCCTGTGGGAGTTGAAGTCCAAAACACCTGGAGAGCAAAAGTGTAGGTGCACCCTTGGCATCAGGTTATTATTATTTCATATCAAAAACATTGCATAAATTAGTATAAAACTGATAAAAATAGAAGGTGTGCAGGTGGCTAAATATCTTTTGACCAAAAACGGGCAATAGCAACGACATTGTCTGTAGCCTCCAACAATTCCTCCTTGTCTGTTCTGCTCCACAGTCACACAAGGTATGGGATTCTTTTGGCAGCAGGTGAAGAAATACATTAATTATTGACCTGGGGAGGAGGGGAAAACAAGCCCAAGGAATAACACTTTTAGCTGCCATGGTTCAATGCTATGGAAATATTGGAAGTTGTAGTTTTACAAGGTCTTTGGCCTTCTCTGCCAAAGAGTGCTGGTGCCTCATCAAATTGCCAATCTCAGGATTCCACAGCATGGAGCCGTGACTCTTAAAATAGTGTCAAACTGCATGGATTCCAGGTGCATCTTTAGGTTTATCTGGCCAAAAGTGCTGAAGCCTTACCAAACTGCAGCTCCCAGAATTCCATTGTTTTAAGTTAAAGCGGTGTCAAGCTGCATTCATTTTGTGGTGTAGATGCACCCAGACATGTCACCTCTCCAACATCCCAGCCACCTTGGCCATCAGTTTGGAATTCAGAGTTTGGGAAATACTTCAATCTTCACCTCTACTTTTCTGTGCTCTTTTCCTATCTCCCTTCACAGATCTTGGAGTTGATATTTTGGGACTACTACATCCCCAGTGGTGCAGCAAGTTAAACCACTGAGCTGCTGAACTTGCTGACTGAAAGGTCAGTGGTTCGAATCCAGGGAGCGGGATGAGCTCTTGCTGTTAGCCCCAGCTTTGAACCTAGTAATTAGAAAACATGCAAATGTGAGTAGATCAATAAGTACCACTCTGGTAGGAAGTTAACAGCTCTTTGTGCAGTCATGCTGGCCACATGACCTTGGAGGCATCTACAAACAACACTGGCTCTTCGGTTTAGAAATGGAGATGAGCACCAACCCCCAGAGTTGGACACGATTAGACTTAATGTCAAGGGGAAATCTTTACCTTTACCACACCTACAATGTCTTACACTCTCCCCAACCCACACAGTGGTGTCATTAAGTCATGTTTTCTGCCACCTGCATGGACCACTTCTCATATTAGACCATACTAGAGTGTTGCATACAAAATACGTGCAACACTGTCTAAAAAAATTGTCAAAACCAGTGACTATAAAAAGCCAGCCAAAACACAACGCAAACCTTGTGCATGCTTTCAGCCTATGCCGATGAAACCGTGCAATACGAAGCATCATAATACCAGTAATTGGGTAATAACGACAGCTCTGACCAAAGCACAAGTCCATTAGATGGTTCAAAAAGTAAATCAGCGTAACCTTGTAGGTATATTGAGACAGTTCATGTGAGCTGGTGTAACAACATGTTTCTTGTGGTTATATCTAACTACAGTAATACATTTGTAAACTATAAATTTCTGCACAAAATATTGGTGTTATCCCTTCTGAGGGTTCACACCTGTCCTACAACCAGGCCAACCTCTCTGTGACTTTGCCAGACTCCTCTTAAAGCAGGAACGGTAGGATTGCTATGGCCCTGAAGTGCAGTCCCATAACCCATCACTATTGCTTCTCCAGCCTAGGGCTGCTGAGAGTTACAGTCTGACAATAGCTGGAGGACACCAGATTCCTGTCTCTATAGTTTAAACTACTCATTACTTAGTGAATGGGACAACAGAAAATGGCAAAAGTGAGTGTGCCTTGGGCTGGCCTCCACATTGCCTATATTCAGCTATCCATGCTGCCTGAACGCAAAGTGAACATTAAATCTATGAACAAGTTCAGCAAGTCTAAGGGCCAATTTCCTGGTCCTGGAATTTACAGGGTCTGGAGAGGCTGCCAAAAATGTGGCAAAACAAAACCAGGCAGGATTGGAAGTCCAGTTCTGCTTTATGTGAAACATTTTTTATTTGATATATATGTGTGTGTGTGTGTATATATATACTGCAAGGGTGTCTTGTATTTCACTGCTTTTTAATCTGTGGGTTCTTACCCAATGGGGTCATCTTTGCTCAATGTTTGGTTCACAAAAGCTCTGACTACAGTAAAAAAGATTTCTGGAAGCCACTCACACAAAACTGTTAGGAACAATGTACAGTGGTTTACAGTGAAAAATGCTTCAGCTGTACTCCACAGAAAGTAAAATCAACCTGTTTAGCAAGCATCTTCAAATGCTGGAGATTTAATAAATGAAGAAGAAGAAGAACTTTATTTTTCTACCCCTCCTCCTTCTCCCTGAAGGGACTCGGGGCAGCTTACATGGGGCCAAGCCCAGGCAACATACAATTAAAAGCAAAGCAATAACAAAATACAATTTAAAAAGCATAAAACAACATAACAATAATAGACAAGTATCAAGCAACAAAAACTAATTTAAAAAGGGGGGAGACCAATATATGGGCTGATTAAAGAATAATTGGTTCAATAAGGTGGATGAAAATGCATGATAGCATAGGGAATATCATGAAAATAGAGCAATTTAACAGGAACAGAATTCAGTTTGACTTACAAAATCTTAGTAGTAACATATTATAGGAATTTAGGTTGAATAAT